AGGTAGGATTCACACGCAAGTTCCGTTCTCCGCTTTGCCCTGATGAAAGGAGAATCACGACTCTATTGATAAGGTCCTCTGAAGGAGCCAGAACTCCACCATGCTAGTTTCCTTGCCTCTGAGAAGTGAGGGTGCTGGGTCCTAGGGTATAGAGTCCTTGAATTACAGCCACCTAGGCTTTACCCCTTCTCAGTCTCCTCACCCCAAGAACCAGTGGCCACTACTCCACAGAAACAAGCAAGCATCTTGTTGCTCCCTCTTGCCTCCTGCCTCTCTCCACACACCAGGGCTAGGTTGCCCCCACAGAACCTAGCTGGGCACTGAAATCCAAGTTTGGTAGGTTCATTCAGCCTGGAGGGAGAGAGGGAGGAAGAGAGGCCCAACCTCCACTCTGCAGGCCCACAGAGACATGTCTGTGTCAGTCCTGCAGCAATCAAAGACAGTTTCCAAACCGCTGCTTCTTACTGACAAACACTTGTACTTTTCCCTTCCACTCAGTAACAGAAAACAGGCTTTTCTCTGTAACCCATGGAAAACAATCTTTGAGCAGGACCTGAAAATATTCTGCTTCTCCCTGCTCCCTTATCTCAGTGCCACAGGACAGAGGCTGTGCAGGCTGCAGGCTCCGGGCAGCCTGGTTTTGAAGGCCCTGCAGTGGACAGATGTTCCCTAGGCTGAACATAAGCTCTGCCATTTCCTCTCTGCTTGCAGGCCAGCTGGGACCCTGCTCTCCAACTCTCATAAGGTTGCTGGGAAAGCCAGTGAGATGAGGAGCAAGCAGCCAGTTGCAGCGTAGAGCCCGTATGACCTGTCTGTCATCAGTCCATGTGTGGTTGCTTAGGGCTTCCAAGACCATGAGGTGACCCAGCAGCCAGTGCTCCTCAGCTTGGGCTGTTGGTCCAGTGAACGATACCGTGATAGATACATTTCCAGAAAACAACTGCAAGTGAACCTGAGCCTAGCACATACTTCACTTCCCAGGACTGTTTCCTCTGCCTTACGACAGTCATGCGTTGCTACCTTGATGAGTATGAAGTGACAGAAGTGGAGAAGGCACCTGGCATGTGGGAAGCACATGAAAAGCAATGATGCGGCTGAGGATGTCCTCAGTTGGTAAAGGGCTCGCCTAGCAAGAAGGAAGGCCTGGGTTTGACTCCCAGCATTGCATAAACCCACGCGGTAGGGAAATCTCTATGATCCTGACACTGGGGAGATGAAGTCCAAGGTCATCCTCAACTATATAGGAAGCACAAGGCCACCCAAAGATACATGAGACTCTTTCTGAACAGCAAACAACGGGGCTGGGCTTAGTGGTGCACACTTTTAATTCCAGCACTGGGAAAGCAGAGGCAGGTGGATCTCTCTGAGTTCCAGGCCAGTGTGGTCTACGAAATGAGTCCAGGACAGCCAGGGCTACACAGAGAAACCCTGTCTCAAAAAACAAACAAACAAAAATGTAGTTGTCTTGGGCCTTCACCATGTTTCATCTTGCTTCACTTGAATAAAAAATAAAAGAATTGATATTGGGCTCTTGCTCTGTTTTTGTATGTATGTATGTATGTATGTATGTATGTATGTATGTATGTATGTATGTATGTATGTATTTAGTGAACACTAGTCACAGAAGGAGCGTCCTTGGAACACAGGCTGTCACAGACTTGAGGCAACGAATGTGTCACTCTGCTGTCTGTGGGGTTAGTTGTCCTCCAAGTGGCTTGTGCTCTGGTAACCTGATGTTGATGGCAATAATGCAATTTTCCTTTGGCGATGTTGTTCTAGAGGGAGAGTGTCCATTCCACTCAGGCCGCTGAAACCCAATCTGCAGGAAAGGACATTCAAACCGAATTGGAGGTTAAATTTCATTTGCTGATTTAATAAAAACTAACAGGATGGATTTGGGGATATTTCATTAATCTTTCTTTCCTTCCAGTGCAAAGGAGATTAAGTTCATTCCAGTTCAGCCTTTGCTTTCTTTCGTGCAGCCGGCTGCAATGTCCACTTTCTCTCTGGCAAGTTAAAACCTAATTAGTCACACACAATTCTTCCCTGACCCTGTCACCGCTCGCAGGGAAGCACTGAGCAGCAGGCGTGAGGGCGCCCACATCACATATACCACACGTGCTCACCACACACATACGCGACATTACACACATACACAGCACACTACATACACACGCTCACATATTCACACGTTCCACATGTACCACACACATATATGACGCTGTATACATCATAGATTACATATAAATAGAACATTACAGACATACATATCACACACACCTACATGCACATATCATACATATGTATCGCATGCATGCATGCCACACACACACACACATATATATCACATCTATACCATACTAAATCCCTACCCATATATATGCCACATGAATACACACAGCAACTACACTCAACACATACAACATAACATAACACACACATGTAACGCCACACTTACATATCATACACACTGTAAACACCACACATATATGTATACACCACACACAGCACACATATCCATCACACAAACTGTACCACATCACACACATGCATGCATTTATACATGATTGCAGAGAAGGTATTAGGGAAACGAGATTTTAAGTTTGGTGTCCCAGGAGTTCATGGTCAAGTCAGGGCTCAGTCAGTTTCAGTCTGTGGCTCTGCAGATGGAACCCAACCTCTCTGAGGCTTTTTCTCTTTTGTAAATTGGAAGCAAATAACCCCTCACCGCACTGGCTCAGAGATGATAAACATAGATTTTTTTTAAAGTCCTTTTAAGGTGTAGTCTATCATGGGAGAAAAGGCCTCACACTACCTCTTCCTCAGGCAGGGGGAGAGCTTCTCTGGGATGGAGTGTGGCTCATGGGTAGAGCATGTACTTGGGATGTCTAAGGCTGTTGGGGAATGTTCACCCCCAACAATACGAAAGAGCCTCAATCCTCAGTCCCTTAACAAAGTTCTTGCAGGGAGCGAGGATGCCTTGCTCAGTGCAAATGGGAGGCATGAGAGATCACATGTGAGTGGAGTAGTCATTACTAAGTCAGTACTACAGGCTCAGCACCAGGCCGAATCCACGTGGTAATGAGTCTTCACAAGAGAAGAGGAACCGTGTTACCATCCCCATCCTGCAGACCAGGAAGCTGAGGCTTAGAGGTCAGGGTTCAAGAAGCAAAGCCAGGGCCTCAGGTGCTCATGACACAGTGCTACCACAGTCAAAAAGTGGGAGTGAGGAGGCCAAGTTAAGGGCTTTGGAACTTGATCTTGGAAAGAAGAAGGCATTGGCTGTTGAATTTGAGCACAGCAAACAGCACTGCGATTGGGGTAGCAGAGCAGGCACCCCAGGGCATGAGGGTGAGGCCTGGTCTGGCCGATTGAAGAATGTGACAAGGAGAAGGAAGCCAGAGGAAGCAGAAGCAAAAGTGAGGGTGGGGGTGTTGGGGGTTGGGGGCAGGCAGCAGCCATTCGGGTCAATCTGGAATGCTCTAGCCCCTTGGAAGGTCTTACCAACAAGTGTGACTCCAGGGGATCAGGGGACACCTGCTCCTCCCTTCCAGCCCTACTCCTATATGTCCTAACATACCAATGTCCTTGGTCACCATGACTACTGATTGGCCTTTCTCAGAGCCAGGAGGACAAAGATACGAGAGGCTCAAGACCGGACTAGCAGTAGCCCACAGGCCTCAGCCTTGTTCCATTCTTCCCATCCCAGCACCAAGCCTCCTGTTAGCTCTTGCTTGTCTCACTGGATGGGAGCCAATGCTGCTACCCTCATCCCCAGAGCCTTGTCCTCAGAGCCTGAGCAAAGAGCAGCCTCCTCTGGGAAACTCAGCCCCCAGCCCAGACTGGAGGAGAGGACCCAATACATCCCCTAGCCCAGACTCCACATCCCAACAGGAGATAGTTGAGCTCTGCCTTTTCAGTGTCTGTGAAGATATGTCTGCCTCTGCCAAGCATAGCCATACTGTTGCAGTCCCAGCATTTGGGAGTCTGAGGCAGGAAGACTGGAGTTCAAGGTCAACCTGAGACCCTACCTAGGAGACCCTATTTCTGAAAAGAATAATAAGAATGAGAATGAAGTCAAAAGAGGAAGGGGAGGGGGAGGAAGAGGAGAAAGAGAAAGAGGAAAGGAGGGACAGGGAGAGACAGAGGAAGAAGAGAAAGGGGAGGGGCAAAAAGAGTATGAGGAGTCAGATGAAGAGGAGAAAGAGAAGGAGGAGGAGATGCTACTTCCACTGTCAGCACTGAGCTCCATTAGGTAGAGAGATGCCCATGGACTAGCAGCCTGGCCCAGCCTGATGGGTGATCCTTGGATTACCACACATACTCCATAGTTTCCTCATCACTGTGAAAAAACACTTGACAGAGGTAACACAAGGGAGGAGTGCTGGGGCTGTAGCTCAGCTGACAGAGTGCTTACCTAGCTTAGACAGAACCTTGGATTTGGTCTCCAGAAATGCAGAGACTATGCCTGTGATCCTAGTACTGGAGAGGTAGAGGCAGAAAGATGAGGATCTTTCAAGGTTATCCTCAGCTACTTAGGGAGTTTGAAGTCAGGATGTGCTACAAGAGATACACCCCTACACACACACACACACACACACACACACACACACACACACACACACA